GCATAACATTGTTCATAGGTATCACCTGTGGGGGAGCCTGCTTATGCCCATGCGGCTGCTCTGCCACGGTGGGCTTCGGAGTAGCATGGCGATGATGGGCCAGCGTTCCGCTCGGCATTTTGTTCACTGACATTGTAGAAGTCTCGTGCGATGTGGGGCCGATAACGCGTCCGTTGCGGAGATGCATCCCTTACCAAGCGAAGATTTCAAGGTGTGAATCATTAAAACATAGTATTTCTACTCCCAAGTCCGGAAAGAACAAAGATTTCAATTCCGGAACAGCCCCCAAATGCAGTGCACAGCGCCTTCTGCTGCTGCTGCTGCTGCTACTCCTCCCCCCACTCATCATCCTCATCAGCAGCAAGCAGTGCTGCTGCTGCTCCTGCTGGTGCTGCTGCTGCTGCGCTGCTGCTCCTACAGCGCTGCAGCAGCAGCAGCAGCAACGGCACCAGCGTGCCTGCTATTTGTGCTGCTGCTGCTCAAAAGCTCTACATGCAGCGGCAGCAGCAGCAGCAGCAGCAGCAGCAGATGGTTGCTGCAGACTCACTTTTTAATTCATTATTTTTTTGTTTATTATTATTTATTTATTTATTATTATTTATTTATTATTGTTTATTTATTTATTATTAATTTATTATTAGTTATTTATTATTTATTTATTAACATTTTATTGCTCACCTTTGCTGTAATGTGTCTTTTCAGAAAGTCCCAAAGTAGTTCGTGGACAGCCTTTCTTTCCACCATATTGAATAAATTTAAATTAAATTAAATTAAATTAAATTAAATTAAATTAAAGTTATTTAAATTGAACTAAATCAATTGATTAAATGATATTTGTTTAAATTAAAGTTATTTAAATTGAATTAAATTGGTGTATATTGAATTAAGTTGAATTAAATTAAACAGATTTAAATTGATCTAAATTAACTTAAATTTAATTAAGTTGATTTGAACTAAATTAAATTGATTTAAACCAATTTAAATTGAACAATATTGAATTGAGTTGAAATAAATTGATTAAAATCCGTTTAAATGGATTAAAATTGAATTAAATTTACTTAAGTTGATTTAAATTGAACGAAATCGACCAAAATCTGTTTAAATGGATTGCAATTGAATTAAACTGATTTTAAATCAAATTAAAATAAATTATATTAATTCAAATATGTTTAAATGGATCTAAATATATTAAAACTTTTTTGATTTGAATGGAGTTGGTTTAAATGGACTAAGACTTGTTTAAATGGATCAAAGTTGTTTTAAATTGAATAAAGTTGTTTTAAATTGAATAAAGGTGGTTTAAATAGACTAAAGTTGGTTTAAATAGATCACAGTTGGTTTAAATGGACTAAAACTCATATATTTAAATGGATTAAAACTCATTTAAATGGATTAAAACCCATTTGAATGGATTAAAACTTGTTCAAATAGACTAAAACTTGTTCAAATAGATTAAAACTTGTTCAAATAGATTAAAGCTTGTTCAAATAGATTAAAGCTTGTTGAAATAGATTAAAACTTGTTCAAATAGATTAAAACTTGTTGAAATAGATTAAAGCTTGTTGAAATAGATTAAAGCTTGTTCAAATAGATTAAAACTTGTTTAAATGAATTAAAGTTGGTCGAAAGAAGAAGAAAGAAAAGAAAATGCTTTTTGGGAGTCGGTGGAATCTGGACTCTAAAAAGGCCGAGGTGTACAGACAGCTGAGCGCGCCGCCGCACGGTTCCCTCGCGAGTTATAAATGTTGATTTCAATTAATTGGTTTCAATTAATTGAGTTCAATTAATTAATTTGAATTAATTAATTTGAATTGATTAATTTCAATCAATTAATTCCAATTAATAAACCGAAATTGTCCTGCGCATACAGCCGAAGAGCCAAATGGAGCAGCAGCAGCTGCAGCGGGAGAGCTGTACATACACCGCAGCGCCCGCCCCCTCCGCCACATTTCATTTGCATTTATTTCGCATTTATTTGCATTTATTTTGCATTCATTTGCACTTATTTTGCATCTAATTTGCAATCAATTCATCTGCAAAGATTAAATCGGATTAAATAAAGTCCACTTCAAAAGAGGCGCCGCCACATCACCGCTGCGGTGTACAGACAGATCGAGTGCTTGCAGATAGTCCATTTCGGCGGCCCCAGGTGTACAGACACCTCAAATTGCCAGCTGCTTCCTCTTCCGTTGCTGCTGCTGCTGCTTCTGCTGCTGCTGCTGCTGCTGCTATAAGCTGCCCCTTGCGCCGTTTCGGCGTTAGAAAATAAAAAGGCGCCCTCGCGCCGCCCGTTGCTGCGTCTCGCGTAGCAGCTAAACAGCAGCAGCAGCAGCAGCAGCAGCAGGAGCAGGAGCAGCATCTCCGCGTGCCTGCCTCGCGCGGCGCGGGGACTTGCTGCACCCCCCGCAGCAGCAGCAGCAGCAGCAGCAGCAGCAGCAGCAGCAGCAGCAGTATCTCCGCGTGCCTGCCTCGCGCGGCGCCGGGACTCGCTGCACTCGGCGCAGCAGCAGCAGCAGCAGCAGCAGCAGCAGGAGTCAGGCGTCGGGGACGAGCTCGTCGACGCGGTTGCGCTTTGCTGCTGCTGCTGCAGTGTACTCGTGCGCGGGCCCGCAAAGAATGTGCAGCAAATTGTACGCGTCTTCGAAGTGGCGGCCCGCGAGCTTCAGCCGGCTGTCTCGGAAGGGCCTTCCCTTCGCCTCCTGTCGAGACACCAGAACGTCCCCCAGCTCCTCGTGCAGCCACGCCAGCGAGTACGAGGCCACGGGCATCACCTGCAGCAGCAGCAGCAGCAGCAGCAGCAGCAGCAGCAGCAGCAGCAGCGGCGGCGGCAGCAGCGGGAGCGGGAGGAGGAGGAGGAGGGGTGAGGGAGGTTGGGTGGGTCGGGCTTGGGTTGAATTTAAAAGTGGAGTTTGAATTGAAGTTAAAAAGGGAATTTGAATTATATTTAAAGAGGGAATTTGAATTACATTTAAAGAGGGAATTTGGATTATATTTAAAGAGGAAATTTGAATTATATTTGCAAGAATAAATGGAATGCGTTTTGAATTAGTTTGAAATTGTTTGAAGAGACTTTGGGCAGCAAGAAAGGAACTCCAAAATGAAGTTTTAAAATGGAAAAAATAAATTAAGAAATGAAATTAAAATAAAAGACAAAAGCGAAGGAAATAAAGGAATTAAATTAAGAAGAAAAAAGAAATTAAATTAAAAAGAAGAGAAATCAAAAACAGAAAAGCAAATGAGTGAAAAGACAAAAAGAATCAAAAAGGAAACCAAAAGAGTGAAGAGGAAATTAAATAAAAAACAAAAGAAGAATTAAAAGAGAATTAAAACAGAAACAAAGAAACAAAAACAGGATTAGAAACAGAATTAAAAACGGAATAAAGAACGAATTAAAGAGCATCAAAAGGACCCAAGAAAGAACCAAAAAAGAAACAAAAAGAGACAAAAGAGAAATAAAAAAGAAATAAAAATAAAAATAAAAATAAAATAAAATAAAACTCACTGCATTCACGTATTCCAGGCGGCGCAGCTGGTGAGTGTAAGCAGCTTCGTAATCCCCGCAGGCTCTGTAGCCCTCAAACAGAATCGTGTCGAGCTGCAGCAACCCCAAACCCTAAACCCTAAACCCTAAACCCCAAACCCCAAACCCTAAACCCCGAGGGATCTAAAAGACGGCGTGAGAGCCCCCCTACTGCAGCAGCAGCAGCAGCAGCAGCTGCGCTGCTGCTGCTAGTACTGCTGCTGCCGCCTTCCCGCCACCG